AGGGTTTGGGGTTTGGGGTTCGGGCTCAGGGTCCCTAACAGAGCCCTTGCGTCCCCCATCAACCCTTTCCGTTTGTGTGTTTTTGATTTTTGATTCTGCTGCTTGGGTGAATACAGGATTATAGGAACTATCAGCTGGAATTTGATTTTGGGTGTTTTGTAGAGCTGCACCCCTAAGTCCCATGGGCTCTGAAGTGAAGAGGTCCGTCGGCAGGCTAACCAAACCTTCAACCCCGAAGCCCTGTACCCCAACCCCTAAATCCAGGATTTAGTGAGTTGTTAAAGTACTTCTGAGGTGCCTACGGCCGCCGTGGAAAGGCTGAAGGCAGCCCTGGGATATTTACTGCGCGGATGCTGGTTTGCGGATCTAGGCCTTCGACATTCAGGTTCGTTCTTGGGCATCTACATTTTGCGGCAACGCGCTTCAAGCCCTAAACCAGAAGTGTCCCTAAATCCTAAACCCCCAATTAGGCCTAGACCCCAGCATCCCGTTAGGGTCTGCATGTTATAAGGTAAATCCTAAACCCCCAATTAGGCCTAGAGCGTAGCTTCCCTTTAGGGTCTTTTCTTATAATAAGGGTGCCGGGCACTATTTGGAGGTCCTACGGTTTAGAAAGGGGTACTAATTTAGAGAACTACCCATGCAGGCGCCTCAAACGCTGGTGATATGGTTTACAGTCTAGGGTCTACGCCCGCGTTTCCGCTTCTGCTTCTGCTGGTTTTGCTGAGGCTGGCATTGCCGGTAAGCTGTCGATACCGAGGGTAATGACGGGTAATGAATCAAAACCCGAAGCCCTCGACACCGCACCCTAAACCCTAAACCCCAAACCCAGTCTATGGTGTTTTGCGGATAGCTCCACTTCGTGAAGGAGCGAAAACAGGGCGGGAAGGTCGGGGACGATTTGTCCCCCGAAGATGGTGTAGTATAGGGGTTATCGGTTATATTATATTCGGTTATAGGGTTTAGGGTGTAGTGTTTCAGAGGCCTACATAGCTAGAATAGGGTTTTGTGCTATATTCTACTTTTATAAAGAATACAGTGACTATGAGGGAATATTGCCTCATGAGATCCTTCTAGTCAGCAGGCAGTGTAGCTAGGTGGGTAGGATACTTCCGCCAGCTTGAATGGTTTGTAAACGGATGAGCACATCTAGGCCCGCGACTTCTGCAGAAGATCACCCGCTTTGTTCCCACGGCTCCAGGACGACGTGCAGATAGCAAAGGCCTTGGCTCCCCACCTGAGGTATCACAGCCCATCATGCCCGCTGGAGGCGACACTGTCGACAAGGAGAGCGTCTTCGCAAACTATAAGTCAGTCTTCTCACGCCAGTTCGCCGTTTCCCTCGCCGTGGAGTTCGTGGGTGTGATGTTCTTCCAGATTCTCGGAGGCACCACTGCCAAAGAATACGCTCCCTTTGTGAACGGCTTTGCCTTGGCCGTGTGGATCTACGTTGCTGCCAACATCAGCGGTGGCCACCTGAACCCTGCGGTGAGCTTCAGCACTGCTGTTTGTGGCTTCTACCCGGTCATTCACACTGTCTCTTGTCCTAGTTCATCTGGGAAGTCCTCGAAACTTGGGTCCCGTTGTAGGACGCCCAATAGCACGGCACCCTTATGAAGAGGACCCAACAAGGGACCCGAATTTAGAGAATTACCCATATCATTACTGCCAGGTATTGCAGTGGATGAAACCCTAAACCCGAACCCTAAAACCCTAAACCCTACTTATAACCTGTCTTTCCCTATGAGACCCCAAACCTCAACCTGCCTTAATCCCGAAACCCGGAATCCTAAACCCTGAGCTTGCACAGCTAGACATAGTCTGGAAGAGACTAGAAACAAGAATAGTATAGTCGAGTCTAGTGTAGCATGTTTATAACAGTATCGAAGGAGCTAATTATCGGGGGATAGTAGTAGTAGTAGTAGTAGTAGTAGTAGTATAAGTAGTAGTAGTAGTAGTAGTAGTAGTAGTAGTGGTATAGTAGTAGTATAGTAGTAGTATAGTAGTAGTATAGTAGTAGTATAGTAGTAG